TGTATATAAACCCAGTATTTCTGAAATATATGATTGGTATGGAGGAGGCTGATATTGGTGTACTAAACTAAACAGGCTGGGTTAGGAGTAACATCTGAATATCGATCGAACCACTATTTAACCCTGAATACCGAAAAATGATGAGAATAAGTAAGAAAAAGTATGTATGATTGTACTAAATTATTTCATTTTTGAACCCCTCAATTACTGTCCAATAGAACGATTCTATTTTGAGTGAAACTTCAACAGAGATCGATCTATAATAAATTAAATAAGTTAAAAATAAAACTGATCTTTCATCACAAACCATGGCAACGAGACTATAATAGTCACTTCACTAATAACTCTAAACCACTGAGCCAGCCATCATTCAACGATGTTAATGTCTAACCTCAACTAATCCAAGAAATTGCGCGACCAACTTACATTGTACTGAGGTAGATACCTGTCTCTACTTGACATGGATTAGCTCTTAATTATAAATGTACTAAAATCTCCACGAAACTCCCCTCTGATAAATTATTAATTATTGTCCTGATAATTTATAGATTCAATATGATTAACCATAGAAAAAAATGTGTTAAAGTTACCATTTCATCATTATAAAGTAATCTAAAATTCATGAGTCGATTTAAGCTAACTTGAAATCAATAGAGGGCAATCTTTTATAATGATCAATAAATGGGTAGTATGGTGTTTCCCAGCAGTTTCCCTTTCATTTAGATGGTAGGTAGGGGGGTAGGCTACATATCAGAATGTGATTGGTACTGGAGATTTCATTTAAAGCATCTGAAGTTTTCTATATCTAATTGCTATGGACACATTATTGTAGTACCAAATAGATAAAAATAAAGTTTAGAGTTCAAAATGGAATCCCCAGTAAATATTATGCGCTTATGTACACCAATAACCCAATTAAAATCAACGGAGAAGTGCCATATCACAATTAATTGATCACTGGGTGGTGATCAGTGTCATGCGTGTCAAGTCCTTTTCAGTGCTGATCGAATGCTATCGATCAAGTTGCAATGTGGCCACCAGTCTAGGTGGCTCGATACTGTTGACCACCTCCAACAACCATCTTACCTCAAGTGTCATATCCTCACCCAATCACCACCTCCTAAATACATGATACTGTACATATGATTAAACATCGAAAAAAAGAGGAACAGATACATATTATCACCATAGTGAAAACTTGACTATTTTCAAAAATTTTATCATCATTCTACTTTTCAAAAAAAACAATACAAACTTATACAATATTTCTCCTTAAATAAGGTCATCATTCTGAGTCATTAAATGATTATCAGAAAGTAAACAAAGGAAACATGAATAATCCATTGGAATAGACTAGCCATATTGTAATATCATTGCTTCATATACATTCGGTATGGCTTTGAAGTATTAGCCAACTTGATTCAATGGTCAGCTTCGGATATCGTGATGAGTTTGTTTAGTTATATTAACAGCTGGAACTTTCATACCATGGCAGACAATTCACTTAAAGAACGTGATGATTAAATATTTCAAATGGGCGCCTATATACACACGTACATGTTCAATATGACTAGACCTTCGTCATCGAACAATTCTTAATTTAGCAATTAGGGCGTAAATCTATGTATATAACACCATTTTTTCTGTATACTTCGGAATGGAACATATGGTAGTGTGTCTTACTGATTTTGACGGATATAAGTAGTATGTATCACCAATCGAAAGTGAAATGCCTAGAGGCAGAAGGTTGAGACGATAGAACAGAAAGAAAAAAAACGAGAATAGAGAGTGATTGATATGGAAACAAAAGAATAACAAAAGTCTGAGATGATTGATTGACATTTTACAAATGAAGTATTGACTGTATGATTCTCAGATTTTACTAAAAGAGGTTCTGTAATACATTTGGTTGTCCTCCCCCCCCCACACCTGCTATGTTCTCATTCACTACATTAGATGTACGTGTACACACAAAAGGAAGGCAGATTCTTTTGATACAAAACAAAAAATGTTATTTATTTATTGTTCCCTTTACGAATTACAAAAATGTATTTGAATGAGAAAAGGGGATGTCAATAAATTTCATAAATTCTCTTCATAAATATAAACAGAATATCAGAAGGAATTTTGTGGATATTAGACCATCATGGAAAACCTGGAAGCACTGGACGACCGTTTCGTCCTATTGTGGGACTCCTCAGCGGTGCGCACACAAGATCCCGTCTCGCGAGATTCCAACTCAGGACCTACCAGTCTCGCGCCGGAGCACTTAAACTCTAAACCACTGAGCCAGCAGTCATCCAACTGTGTTAATGTCTAACTTTAAACAATCCACGAAATTGAGCAACCATTCACCAATGTCTTCAGTAAGTTGATATCTCCCAACAGATCTGGTTGAACTCCACTGGTTACTGTTTCTCACTAGAACTCCAGGAGATACCTCATGGAACATTTTCTCTTCTAGAGAATGAATTTTATCTTTTTTAAGGTTCCTAATCGTTATGGGCATTATTACTATTAAGTTATTTAGTTTGTTACTCACTATCACTGTACAATCTGATATAAATGTGAGTTAGCTAAATCGTCATACCATATTTATTCTAAGAGATGGCACTATCAGGGAGCAATAGAAGTATATGCATCTATTCCATTTCGATAGATCTTGTATTATTATTTCACCCAACGCTCCAATCATAGTTTTTGGTTATCGTAAGTATTCTAAATAGTCTTTATCTACTAACACGCATTAGACCAATAGATGATGAGTTTATGGACTGGTGCCCAAGTTCGATTTCGTTACCTCTAACTTAACATGTCATTCAAGTTTCATATTCTCCTGTTTATACAATAATGGTATTAAACTTTATCGAAATTTAAAGTGTACAATAATTGAAATCATGAGTAAGTTGAAGCTAGACCACCATGGAAAACCTGGAAGCACTGGACAGCCGTCTCGTCCTATTGTGGGACTCCTCAGTGGCAGTACGCATGTACGATCTCACCTCACAAGATTCTTACCCAGGACCTACCAGTCTCGCGTGCGAGTGCTTACCCCATAGACCACTAAGCCGTCATCCATCGGTGTTAATGTCTAACTTCAACCAATCGACGACGTTTGAGCAACCGTTCACCAGTTGTCTTCAGTGAGTTGTTATTCTCACCATAAATGTGGTTGAACTCCACTGGTCACTGCTTCCCACTAGAACTCCAGGACATGTATCTTGAAGTCAGAAATTTCAATTGACTCATGATTTCAACTATGATAATACTGAAATCTACACAAAACCCCTTCGGATTGTACACTAGTTACTATTTTTCAATAAATTTCTCTTTATAGCTTAAATCACGTATTATTCTTAGGTAGACCACATTCCAAAGCCTGGAAAAACTGGACGGCTGTATCGTCCAACTATGAGACTTTTTAGCAATGTACATCGAGGACCTGACAATACGGAATCAAACCCAGGTCCTTCAATCTCGTTTGCTAACACTTAACCTTTAGACAATCGATCAAGAATTCAAAGATCTATTTATTTAACTTCAATCAATTCATGATTTTTCATGATTATCTTCAATTACCTCCTGACTTCTGCCTAGAACTATTCGAATTACATGACGAACTTCCCCGATAGTGAACATACATGATTCTTATCAATAAGACATAAGTAATTTTACATAAAATTTGTATTTTGTTTTATTGAACAAATAAAATCTTGGACTAAAAATAAGAAAAAACAAACAAACCCAAATTCACACACACACACACACACATCCTGTTTATATAAATTAAAACAAATGTGTAAACACTTTTAAAACTTTTTTAGCTAAACATGATTCAACGTTAAACACAAAACTATTCTCTTTCATTGAAATTAGTCAGTCAGTCAGTTAGTCAGCAACAATGTAGGACCAAGCACACATTATGCATCGGTCCAAGTTGCCATCGAAATAGAAGAGAATAACTAAACCTATCAACTAATAATAATGATCCACATAATGACAAGCATAAGTTATACAAGAATGAACTCAAAATAAATACCAGAAAAAAAATGTACATATAATTACAAAGAGGTAATATAAGATCTATAATAACGATGATTATGTACTAAAAAAAAAATGAGCACAAAAATGCATAGATACTACTTATTACCACACGCACACACACAAAAAAGATTCAATCTAAACAACCCCCTCAAAGATTATTAAACAATATCAGCAGTAAAATGAAAAAAAAAATAAGCCTTAAGAAATCTAAACGCACACACATAGAAATATACTTAATACTATATATATATATATATATATATATATATATAGTAATGATAGCAACACGCGCATAGGTTACTAAATATCTTTATATAAACAGAATGTGACAAGCGAAGATTGATATATAATAGATACTTGAAGAAAGAAGGAAAGAGAGAGGGGGGCATCAAGGGAGGGGGAGCGAAGGGGGGGGGAACTATAAAAAACCATACATATACATTGAACATTCGATAGTGATAAAAAGTAATTTCATGCACTTCATGAAACTATTAAAACTTTTAAAAATGTATTGACGTAATTCAATGTTTGTCTATGTATATATATATATATATGTATGTGTGTGTGTATGAGTGTGTGTGTGTGTGCATTTGTATCTATGTAACAATCATCTAAATGCTACAAGTGTACCTGAATTTTTTAAAAAACAGAATATTTCTATGATAAATTTTTTTTTGAAAAAAAGAGTTTTCTTCATTTAAGGCTTAAAAACAAAACAACCCCCCCATATTTTCTTCCTGTTTTTGCCACTCCCCCCCTCTCTCTCTTGTTTTTTTTATATAGATTGAAGATAGGTAGATCAAATGAACAAGAATAACGTTAGTGACAAAAAAAAGAAGGACGAATAGAGCTACTGAAGGTTGGAAAGGAATTCTCATCAGAATAACAGTCATTGTAGAATGGTTTCATTGGAATAATCAAAAACAAAAAACAAAGATGGCATATAATCATTTTGATTATATGAGAATAGATCTGAGTAACAAGGTTACAATGAATAATATAATCCATGTTTGATAGGGTTTGAGATTGGCAGAGTTTCCGTTTCTTGGAGATTCTGAAAAAGAAAGAAGAAAAGTATATATGAAAAAGAAAATTAGTTATATATAACTAGTAATAATCAGATGATATTGAATGATTTGTTTCGTTCCAGTATGAGACTCTTCAGCGACATGAGCTCATCATTTGACAAGAAAGGATGGAACTAGTGGTTTGAAGGTTATGTGGATAGTATTTATTCTGTTAATAACGAGATCTAAAAGTTTTAAGTTGGATCTTCTGTGCTGGAAGTGGATAGGACACATATTGAGGAAGTCACACAACTGTGTCGCATGACAAGCCTTCACATGGGATCCTCAAGGCCAAAGCAAAAGAGGAAGACTAAAGAACACATTACGCTAAGAAATGGAGACAGACATGAGAAGAATGAACAACAATTGGATAGAACTAGAGAGGATGGCCCAGGACAGAGTGGATTGGAGAATGCTGGTCGGTGGCCTATGTTCCATTGGGATTAACAGGCGTAAGTAAGTTTCGTGCTGTTGAAAGAGTCTGATGCTAGGACGAAACAACTGTCTAGTGCTTACCAGGCAACAATGGTTTTCTAACTTAGATCAATCTATGATGTAAAGTATAAAATTAATTGAGATGGTCACCTCTTTTTTGTAGGTAACTATTCGAAGACAATATCACTTACAAAATTCAGTAAATTACATACCACACTTTGAGCCATAATTTTAAAGACTTTCATATTCTGTTTGGTTAGGATAACTGATAAAATGAGTTCTCGTTCTAGTTGCCATTACCCTATTAACACAGAGTGATGAAATTCTTAGAGTGAATCCTTAAGTATCAATAAGTAATACAGAGGATTAGGTATTGAAGATACGATTCGAGAAGAAAATACAATTTAGTGAGATTAAAACAGAAAAGTTGAGGAATTTAAGATCTCAGAATTTGTGAGAAGACAAAGATTGCATACACTTGCGCAAGTCCAAACGATTTTGAGCCATATCATTTAAAATCTTTAACCACTGGTTATGATAATCACGCGTACTCCAACAAGGTGGTGGTAACCTACATCTATCAACATGGCTTAGTCCAATTGTTAATGATTTCCTGAACTGATGCCATGTTTTGGTTTAGTTGCCCCTGACTTTTTTATGGCTTACTCCCAATACCAGATAACATCGTCTGTTGAATTAGACCGTGATTAGACACATGTAACGCATGTATCAACCACCTTATCAATCCCTTAGTCATGCTTAACTATTACCCCATTCCTAACTTAAACGTTGCTTATTCAGTGGACATAAAATACACGAGCGAATCTTGGAAGACATTTATGATCAAATACAAGTAACTTACAAATACCTTCCAATCTTGATGACCATGTTTCACACCCGTAAAATGGAACGAAGCAAACTGCTGAGCAGTAATTTCATCCTATGGTTGAGAGATCGATATCACCCAGGAACTTAGGTCTCTTAACTTCTAGATAGCTGAGATGTCATCCAACAGTGTTAATGTCTAACTTTAATCGATCTACGACATTACATGACCATTTACCATTGTCTAAAGTGGAAAACTGCTTAACACTCGAAATTGTTCAACTTCATCAGCCACAACCTCTTACTTCTGAAATTACCTCATGTTATGAAAACGACGACTAGATCAGAAAATCTTTTTGAGATTTAAAAACAATGGTGATTTTCTAAATATAGTTTTGACTATTTTCCTAACTTTTAGACGTTTTTTTTCCAAATCATTATAAATGTCCCCTCAATAAACAACACCATACACTTAATTACAAATAAGTTGGCTAGTTCAGTGATAAAGTTCATTAACTTCAACAAGCTGTTTATAAAAAAAAAGGCGGTTGAGATATTCAAGCTTACATAATAATCTCATTCTAAATCTTTCTGAAGTAGTTTGATTTTCACGGTCAACACCGATAACTGAAGTGTGTGTGTGTGTATGTGCATGAGGGAGAGAAAATGAGAAGGGGGACAGTGAAGAATATTTTTTAATCAGCTTTTAGTCATCAAATTGAATCTTGTGCCAAATCCGAAGCCATAAACAAATTTCGATTCACAAACCATATGTTATCATCATTAGTAAGTAGTAATAGTATTATCCAAAACAAAGACATTAAATCTTCACTATTATCATAAGTTCTTCATCAATACGAAATCGTTTATGTCGGTAGCATTAGTATATAAGATTAGTGTGTTGTGTAATTGATTGGCATAATGAGTGTTTATATGCAGAAAAGTAAAGATATTTCCTAATAGTGATGGTAGTGGTAATAACAGTACTATTCCTATGACTACTACTATTACTACTACTAATAATAGTAATAATAAGTAACAAAGGAAACTTTGATTTTCATTATCATTCATATGATAGAAACATTAACAGTGGAAACGATTCATTTTTCTAAAAAAAAACTTAATTCATTCATAGTAAAGATGATGGAGGGTTGGTGGTGGTGGTGGTGGGGGTGAGGGGGGTGGAGAGGGAGTTCGAAAAAAAAGTTTTTTTTATTTTTTACAGTTATTCACGGAATTGACAAACGAAATTGATAAACGGAAAAAAAAGGAATGTGGTAAATGGACATTGAAAAAAAAAACAAGAACACATGATTCCCCTTTAATGATTTGCATAATTATAATTTTTGGCCATACAATCAAAAGTTTAAAATTTAGTGATACCGAATTGTACTATGTTCAGTACATGTGGTTTGAATGCTTTGATATAGCTAAACATCAAAGAGAGTACATTCTCCTACTTGAAATATTCTAATGTAACATGTTTACAGGAGTTAGAAAGCCCCATAGTGTATATGGACTGCAGTCAGTCAGTCACAACGTAGAAATTCGTACGTACGTACCTACATCAGTTAGAGTTGACATACCACATTAACACAGAGATGCACTTGTCGATTCAAAAAATCCTATAGTGGTAGAAGTAGTAAAAGTATAAACAGTAGTTAGAAAGATTAGGATTTGAAGATGTTATTCAAGGAGTATAATCCAATGAATAAATTTGGAAAGAGAAAAAACATAGAGACGTGAGGAATTCAGAAGATTAGAATTTGGGAGAACACAAACAGTGGATTTACCTTCGCCATTGCAAACGATTTTCAGCCATGTCATTCAAGGTCTCTAACCATCGGTTGCTATCATCTCGCGGATCCCAACCAGGTAGTCCACACCTACCAACATGCCTCAGTCCGCTTGTCAGTGACTTCATGGATTTAAGCCACGTTTTGGTATGGCTGGCCGTAGCTTTCTTACAACCTACTCTTACTCCATAAAAGATTGCATATCGGGTCAGTCGGTGGTTGGGCATACGTAACACGTGTCCCAGCCATCTCAGCTGATGAAGTTCCACTATTTCATCAATCGATTTGCCATCCTTACCTAGTACCCGTTTCCTAACGACTGCATTACTTACTCGGTGGTCCCAAGATATACGAGCAATTCTTCAAAGGCAGCTATAATCGAATACTAATAGCCTACCTAGTACCCGTTTCCTAACAACTGCATTACTTGCCCGCGTTTGAATCATGTTGGTAAGCGCAGGATTATACACTGTTAACTATTATCACAGTAAAATATATCCAACTGTAATTTTTTTATTTTCTAGATAGAACGATCAATCTATACTTTGTAGATCATCACACTCATTTGTTTCAAAATTGTGATCATGTACATTTACAGTAATTGTTGGATCAGTTGGATAAACTTTATTCTTAATTAGTGATATTTCAGTTAACATTTATCTGACTTTTCATACTTAACATAACGGACTGATCTTAATTCGATCACGATTGATAATCCAAAAAGCTCTGAGCAGCTGTATAGCTCTACTAAGAGAGGCTTTAGCAGTGAAAATCCACAACTCTATCAGAGATTCAACCCACTTGCGAGACCGGATCTCCACAAAATTTCTATTCTAATCAATTAGACCATTATTATAATAACAGCTGATGGAATAAAACAATTTAGGTATTCCGAAAAACGGAAAGACCATTTGATGATCGATTTCTCGATTACCATTAGCATAAATTAAAACTATTTCTAGAAGGTGGAAGTAAACAATATGCCCATTTTTATAATGTCATGAATTCCAAGAATCCGATTACCTAGTTAAACAACATACAACATACACACACTAATACATTTCATGTTCATCAGCATGAAGAGGTGGAAAGTGAAGATTGTTGAGTTTTATTGAGATCACTAAAAGACCTAAGTTAGATAACTATTAAAAAACCAGAAATATTAAGCCAGTTCATAATCTGAATAACATAAAGCAGTCAACCAAAGCGCTATGCTAATAATTACCATTTGGTTGCCAGTACCTAACTTCTAGCGCAAATTTCCAAAGCTCTAGTGTTCAAGCTTGTTGAGTGTGAGATTATTTACCTACCGAAGACAAAGAAAATTTGGTTGCAAAATCTCGAAAACTGATTGAAGTTAGGTTTGTGAACAGGTGGATGTCGACTCCATGATCTGAATGTGAACTGAAGGTCCTGGGTTCGAACCCCAGTGAGCTACGCGATACTAGGACTACATAGTTATCTAGTGCTTCTTAGTTTTTAATGGGTATCAAACGTAGGCTAATTTGAGATTTCAATAACATTTCGCATTATTTACTATAATCAAATATGTATCGAAATGTTCGCCGGTTAACCTACATAAGTGTAAAGTGCTTGTAGTTGGACTCATATCATTGATATAGTGGCACCGTTAACTTTAGTGGCTGGATAGCTGAACGTTGAAATCATTAGTAATTGGTGTATGTTGATATCTTAATCAACAGCACTTTCAAATTTTTTTAATGAGCAGTCTAATTAACATCATATTTTGATCATTTACAAATCATGAACTGATTTTAAATGAACTACCAATGAAAACCGAGAAGTACTGGACAGCAATTTTATCTTAATATGTACATTCACAACTGTGTATCCGGGACTCGAACTCAGGATCTTCAGTCTTGCATGCTAACGCTTAACCTCTAGATCACTGAGCCCACATCCAGTGGTGTTATTGTCTAACGGTATTTCATAATCACCTTTACACCATGACTTGAATAGATTACCGTCCCTTCAAAACACCCAACATCATATTTACATTCATCCGTCACTTTGATACGAAACATTCCTTCCATCTTACAGAGGAAGAAATTCAATACCTTGACTAATCAATTAGTTCTTAAGTCACAAGGCGTCAGGCATCAATCACACATACAGCATAACTCAAATCCAATTACATAAACCAACGATTAATGAACTGGGTTGATAACTGAACTGGGGAAAAAAAGTGCAAATTGTCATAGACTTACTAGTTTCATGAGCATCCAACGATAGAAGATCTTTTGGACTTCGTTGTAATAAAGATGGATTAATTTTGTTTGAACCTAACGGAAAAAGTACGATGAAAAAAAATTGATTAGTAATACGATGACGACAGATTTTAAGTTTTGTGGAAGCGTAAGGAGAATTAGAGTAAAACAGTATGATTACAATCAAATGAATTCATAATTAATGAAACAACTGTACATGGCTTTCTGAATTTCATGGACAGTGTAAGATCAGTCTGTGGTCTAAACTATGGAAATCCACTTAAGATCATGTTCAGCTTTGTAGAACGGATGAATTGTGACTCACTGTAGAAGCTAGAGGAGCATTTCATCCTGTTTGACACTTGTCAGCTGACTGTATCTACATCAAATTGTTGATATTCACACTGACTTTTAAACTGGGTACCTTCCAAATTCATTTAGTATTGTTTGTTTGAATCGTTTCATTGGTGTTTAGGACTGCAACTGGTCAGTCTCTAATTGGCGTATGTGCATGCTGTGCGTATTGCCTCAATATAGCCTAAATTAACAAGCATTGTAAGCAAAGATGGATAGTAGCTAACAGTGGGTACCTTCCAGTTTAAAATCCGAATGCCTTACACCAAGTGAGCTATTTAGTCCGCATAGCCACCAACGTGTGCAGAAATTATGAACTTCATTAAATTTACAGTTGATACCTGATGCATACATGTTGAGCAAGACCGATAAAACTCCATCATGAATATCAACAGTAAGATAAATCATACTTTTAAAATACGGTTAAGCAACGCATTTGAATTCATTACTGATAATGATTACAAACTCATTATTATAGATTTCTAAATACTGTCGATGAGTTTCTTTAATAACTGTAAGTAGACCTACTGAACTCATTGAGTTGATGATTGACATTCTCTATGACATTTTTAAGACTGAAATTCTTAAATCTCTTCCTTCCCTTGTAAGATAACCGCATTGTCATAGACGCTGGTTATCTGAAGGAAACATTTTACTGATGTCACACTCCTGTTTAATGAGCAATATAACTTCCCCTTCAGATATTCAGTTTGTGCTTTTAGTCATACCGTGATCCAACAAGTCTGTTTGACGCAGTAAAACTTAAGCAAACATTTGTTCCTGACAGTATTGTTCGACTAGATCCTTTTTAGTAAGCAAACCTGATCACACTGTCAAGGTAGCAACATCATCTCTTCATACATACCTTTACATTATTTTTTAAAGCCACATTTTCAAGACTTAATCTTTCTCACAATCATTGTTATTAGTCTATTGCGATGTCTCCAGTAACATTTATTTCTTTATTCTAATATATTGTAGTAATCTGGAGCAAAATATATCTGTAGTGTGCTCTATGTAGATGATATCTGTCTGGAATAAGTATTTATTTATTGAATGATAGTAAGGCCTGTAAAGAACACTGGTATAAGGAAGATAATAATGCCTAATGAAAGAAAAATAAACATAAGAATGTTAAGATTGTAAGATATACAGTCAGCTAATCAGCTGAAACTCAAGACCAATTACATCTATGCATCGGTTTAAGTTGACACACCTAATTAGCACAACAAGATGAACATAGAATTCTTTGAAATAGTTATTTCAATGGTAGCAAAAGAAAAAGATTTCATATAAGGAAGAAAGGTATGAAAAGATTTTAATCTCACAGTTTAAAGGAAGACAACTAGTGTATAAACCTATACCATTCTGAACGATTACGATCCATGTCACCCACAGTATTCAACCATTCGTTACGATAGTCACACGGACTTCAATCAATTGTAAGATAGATACTTTTAAGAAATTTATCAAATCTGAGTGTTACTTGTTTGAATCTTTCCATTGATGTTTAAGGACTGCAACTGGTCAATCTCTAATTAGCATATGTGCATACTGTGCGTATTGCGTCGATATTGCGTTAATTTACAATCATTATAAGCAAAGATGGATAGTGGATAACAGTGGAATCCATGACATTCACCACTTCGTCCTATTTTGGACTCATCAGCTGGATGTACCTCCATCTCAGAGTTGATGTTCACTTTAAGACTCCAACCCAGTCCCTTTCGCTTCAAAAGTCATTGTGTTATCCACTCAACTACTAAGTCCTGATAACAACTTGCTTGTCCAATAGAGTGAAGTTTACATTCACTTAGAACGAAACGCTTGTCAAACTTGATTTCACTGTTAGCCACTATCCATTTTTACTTTATCAAATCTAACCCAACTAATAAACCTTCTAAATTATAATCTACAACATAATAAACATAAGTGAAATATAAACTACATCTAATTGTCACTATCATCGTCTAGCATCAAATCCTTTTTTTTTTTTACTTTTCTAATTAAAAATTCATATTTTTTTGGTTTTAATGATTAGTAATAAATATTCATGAAAAAAGAAAAAGAAAAAAAAAAGGTTCATTTTTATTGTCTCCAAGCATATTGTTTTGTTTGTTTGATTTTTTTTTGTGCAATAAAAACAGGCAAAAAAAGAAGAAAAAAAAGACTATTTTTGCCTAGAGACAAAAAAGACAAATTAGATTGTGGTAAGAGACAGAAAATTTATTCTTTTTTCAAATTATTAATAATTAATTGGAAAAATTATTATTACTACCATTATTATTATTATTACCATTACTATTATTATTACTCTTACTATGATTACTATTACTATTGCTACTATTATTATTATTAGCATTAATAGTTTAAAGCTTATACCAGTTGACCTATGCACATACGAGCAAGGCAGATATAGGTAGATATAGGCTTACATCACTTTTTTTTTAATGTTTCCAACATAAATTTAATTAATTAATTTATTTATTTAAACACATAAATATTGGTAGAAGGAAGCACCAGATAAATATGCGCCTCACAAATCTCATTTGATTTGTGTGAGGGATGTGATACTACACAGGCGCCCAGACTGAAACAGGGGGTTTTCTTAGAGAGCCACACTCCAAGCTTTTGATCTAAAGGTCTAACCCACAAGGTAGTGAAGCATCATAAGGAGATGCAGTCCCATTTGTAGCCGGTGACCAACGATTGATTCATAGGCTATTCATTTCATCAGGATACTGGAGCCTATGTGAACCATTGGTTTAGAATCAGGATTTTTTCAACTCCTATAGGTAGATTTTCTGTGTCCAGCAACCCGGTTAGAGCACCGGATATTCACTTTTTGTCCTCTCAATTTCGTAAACAATACCCCCGCCACACATAAATTTAAAAACGAGAAAAAAATATGTAAAATATTAAAAAAATGGAACCAATAAATTGTTGTTTTAGTCTTTGAAATGTAATGAAATAAACAAAAAGTGGTTTTTATTTAGAAAAAAACGCAATTTTTAAATTATGACTGTTAGAAGTAGATGTATTATTATTTACCGGAGGGGTGTTTTGTGGCGGGAATGTGGATACGCAACTCCGCCTGTAGTTCTTCTAGAGTTAATGCCGGTCCCAAACCCGGGTAAAAGAAGAGAGTTGGGCATGGAGTTAGCGACCCCATCCCTTAGAAAAACTAACTTGCTAAAAATACGCTACCCAGAAAAAAATCCAACCATTTAAGGGAGGCCGAAGAACACATTACGTTGGGAAATAGAAGCGGATTTGAAAAGAATGAATAAAAACTGAAAGGAATTGGAAAGGATTGCCCAGGACAGAGTTGAATGGAGAATGCTGGTGAGCAGCTTATGCTCTTCCACGAGGGGTAACAGGCGTAAGTAAAGGAAGTATGTGGATGCGCACTGCAACTTAGAAGTCCCTCACTTGGACGAAACGACCGTCCCGTGCTTACAGGTTTTCCAGGGTGGTCTAGCTTCAATCGACTCATAATTTCAACTATATAAAATTACTAAAATCTCCACAAAACCCCCTTCTGATAGTAATCATATGCTCACTAGTGACTGGCTTCACGAGGTATTTGCTGGAGTTCTAGTGAGAAGTAGTAACCAGTGGGGCTCAACCACGTCTGTTGGGAGATATCAACTCACTGAAGACATCGGTGAATGGTTGCTCAATTTCATGGATTGGTTGAAGTTAGATATTATTATTTAGTTAAAATAGAGGTTAATTTTTGACAAAATTGAACGAACAAACAAATTAAGATAATCTATCTTAATATAGGACTGCTTCGTAATGTTCATCCATGACATCCCATCAAGCGGTCGAATTCAGGAACACAGGTTTCTCATGAGAACTCTTAACTTCTAGATAATTGAGATGGTATCCAACAGTGTTAATGTCTAACTTTAATCGAACTACGACATTACTTGACCATCTTCTATTGTCTAAGGTGGAAAACTGCCTCACACTTGACATGGTTGAACTTCACTAGTCACAGTTTCTCACTAGACCTACGGAAATTTACCTCAAATCTAGTCACTATTGAATATATGATATTTGTCAGTGTGTGGGTTGTATGGATTGCTGAATTTCATTCAAATCATGAACCGATTTGAATAATGCGATCATCGAAAACCGGGAAGCACTGGACAAGCATTTCATTCTTGTATGCAATTCCTTAGATCGGTTAATAGTTCCAGTGAAATTTAACAGTCTTCACTATGTCATAATGACAAATCAAGTTGTGTTATCAGAGCATGAAGTTTTCGAGTATAACTTTGAAGTGTTTTAGCAAGTGTAAACTACCTTGGTTAAGATCCAAATGAAAGTATGGTTGGAAATAATAAGTAAAAGAATTCTGTAACTAGGTTTCCTGTTATCTAGGACTCATTAGAAAGACATACCTAGAATTTAAATGCAATTGAAGTCTCCTGTGGGATTTTTAATCAGAATTAACTAGCTCCAACGACTTAACATTTAGGAATAGTGAAAACAATGTTAAGTTACCTAGATTAGAGTTTGCATTTCACTATGATCTACAGAATCCCAAGCATTAGATAAACGTAAACTCATTTAGCATTCGAAGATCAATGCAAATGTCTCAATTCTGCAGGAGGTTCTTAGCTGCCTAAATATCACACTGGTAAAACTATAAACCGTGAAACAGGATTTGAATCTAATTATGTGTACTAGTTATTAGAAGATTAAATGTACGCCGATTCACAAACTCAGTGAATCATGGCTTTCGGTCGACTATCTCTAACCATCTAACATTGAAACAATGCACAGAATATCCATTTACTTAGGCTAGCGGTCACAATTTAGCTTGACTGATACATTCCCATTTGTACATAACATTGTTAGCAACTCAGCAACCAATTAATCATAAGTAATTTCAATTCTTATCACATTAATATGTTATAATCATTTGATAGTTAAATATTCTCACTCTCTACTATAACATAACATATGTTCACACCTTTATGTTTTATGATAAGAATAATGATAATAGTCTATAGTATAAAATTACATTATGACACTATGTTAACGATCATTCACTGAATGATGTTTATGATAATAGAGATAAGGTTTACACAAACAAACAATATGGATATCTTATCAAGTATAGATTTAATGGTTGAATACATGAGTCGATTTAAGCTAGACTATCATAGAAAACTTGGATACACTGGACGGATGGACAGATTTGTGATGTAATCAATTCATTTACTCAATAACGATTAACTTTGAGAGGTGTTTTAACAGTCCAGATGACAGATTGTGACTAGTGGAGATCAATTGTTAAACAGTTATCATGAAATAAGTTGACGTTCGAAATATGTACCATCAGATAGTAACTCCTTCTGATGTCAATACAATACGATCTATGGGTCCTGGGTTTGAACTCTGATAGGGTCAACCCGACCGTTACTGCTACTTGACGTGGTGGTCAGGCTTGCCTATCGAGCTATATTGGCTGGAACAATCATTCCTCAAGGTTCAACCATGCCAGACAGGTCGGTTGAACAGCAGTAAGATTAAAAGCAACAATCTCAAGGTCCGAAGGTGAAGTCGTACTGCTGACTATACAGAGGTGTGACGGCAGTAAGGTGTTTTCTTCAGACAACCAACATAACAGCGATGCTGCCTTATCACAAGGAGGAGTGATGTTAGGAATGGTCGACCATAAAAATGTACACCTCGCCTTATCCCACGGATTCCCGTCTCCTTTGAGGAACGGAGCTAACACGTCAAAAATCCTGTTTGTGATTGGCCTCAAGCAGTTGTCCCTTGGGCACTGCGGTCAGGCTCTCAGATCGTTAAGACCAACACTAATCCAACTTCTTTCTCAGGTCCCTCAAGAAACACCCTTCCACGGTGTGGGCAGTCGGAAAATGATATTAGCCCTCATACCCGTAACTGTACACGAGACCAAGTTGGTCACATTCAAATCCTTCCTATACCTAATAACTTTCTTATCTCCACGACTAAGCCTTCTCACGAAGGTCATAAATATTAAGTGTTGTAGATAGAAATAGGAAGATGAAATAAATATACTGTAATTCCTGGCTTTTAATGATTGTTTAGATACAGTTATTATGTAATGTTAAACTAGAAATTAAACAATTATGAAAAACTCATTTCGTATTGTTTGCTTGAACCAAACTATATCCACTATACGTGATTGTTTATATGATCATCGATACTATGGTGTATACTACTTATGTTTACAGGCATAAATAGTATATAACACTAATCAAAAGTATAAGTCGCGGCAACAGAAGGCTGGGAAGATTGAATTGATGGGAACAAGAACAGAGAGTAATTGTTATGGTAATGAAGGGATGATGAAGTTTGAGACAGTTGATGTAGGATGTACAAATGAAGTATTGAACGTATGGTTTTCATATTTGATTAAAAAAACTCTAAAATTTTGTATTAAAATATACTAGTTTTCCCCACCCGTGTTCTCATTCATTACATTTCGTGTCTCTGTCAGGGACAGACTGTCGGGAAGAGTGTCGTCGTTCACAACAACACTACTGATAGCCCAACTAGAATTCATAATACTACCACTTTTACAGTTTTGAGGTTTATCTGTCTGTGGTGATGTAGTATGAGAACCTTCACTGATACATATATATGCTAAGATCTGAGACACGGCTGACTGATTGACCAACATGCCATAATCATGTTATGATATACGAATGTGTGCCATGATCATTAATGTCTACTTTCCTTTATAAATAGAAAATAAAATCTTCTTGATCGTACTTTCAGAAAATGCTAGTTCAGAACACTTTTTAGTCATCAGTTGTTATGCAATGAATCGCAACACGTGAACTATTGAGGACTCAATACACCTGGTAGTTATTTGCTTTTGCTAAGTGATGCTTTTAAAGAGACCAGAATTAGCGATCAGAGTGTTCGAGTAATCAGGAGGATCGTAGTAACTGTTATGTGCGTATTCGTTATACACATTTACCTATCCCAAAATGGCTATAAATATGACTATGCCCTGCAAACCATGAGTGAATAAGTAACCTTATTTGCCATATGTTTAATGAAACATAATTTACTTTTCATACTTACACTCACTAGCATTGTAGCAAAATTGTTGGATATTTGAGTACATTGATCCTAACAACATATTTGTTGGCTTGTCAACCGCCCACATGAAAGAACAACTTTACGTCATACATTTTATGTTCGATTCAGTTTTAACAATGAAATAGATAAAATCGCAACAGGGTTCCCATTGGGCCCAATCCTAGAAGACTGCTTCATCTGTAAGCTGGAAAACCATTAACTAAGTTCGATCACCAACGGATTTAATCTGTACAATAGATATGTGGATGACACGTTTGTCATCAGTGACGAGAATATTGAATAAATTGAAGTTTTCATTCCTTATAAATATGTCGTCCTTCTGTAGAATTCAAGTTAGAGTTATACATTAACACCGTTGGATGCCAGCAGGCTCATTGATCTGGTAGTTAGGCACTCGAGCGCGAGACTGATAGGTCCTGGGTTCGAATCTCGTGAGGCGGGATCGTAGACGCGCACTGTCATTGAAAAGTCTCATAATAGGACGAAACGGCCGTCGAGTGCTTCCAGGTTTTCCATGGTTGTCTAGCTTCAATTGATTCATAATCTCAATTATTAAAATTATTATAATATCCACAAAACTCCTTCTGAAAAATATTTTAATTATATTGGTTCATTCGATTTAGAATCTGTTGATTTTTTATTTGTACACATTAAACTATTCACATTACGTAATCCAGTTTTTTAATATTTCTATTGCATCATCATGTTTATTCATTGTTCATATGTCATCATGGAATTATGTCGTATTTTTTAAATGTATAATTAAATCAATATGGGGATTTATGGAGATTGTAGAATTTTCACATTTGAAGAGTCGATCGAAGTCAGTCAGTCAGTCAGTCAAAACGTAGAACTTTGTACGTAAGTACATCAGTTCGAGTTGCCATACTACATTAACAAAGAGATGCATTTGTCGATTCAAATCCCATAATGATAGAAGTAGTAAGAGTATAAACAGTAAACTGAAAGATTAGTGTTTAAAGATGTTATTCAAGGAGTAAAATTGAATGAAAAAAATTTGAAAAGAGAAAAAGGATAGGGACATGAAGAATTCAGAAGATTAGAATTTGGGAGAACACAAACAGTGGATTCACCTTCGCCATTGCAAACGATTTTGAGCCATGACATTCAAGGTCTCTAACCATAGATTGCTATCATCTCGCGGATCCCAACCAGCTAGTCTACACCTACCAACATGCCTCAATTCACTTGTTAGTTACTTCATGAATTTGTGCCATGTTTTGGTCTGGCCGCCACTAGTTTTCTTCCAACCTACTCCTACACCATAAAACATTGCATGTCAGGTCAGTCGGTGGTTGATCGGGCATACGTGACACGTGTCCCAGCCATCTGAACTGATGAAGTTTCACTACTTCATCAATCGATTTGCCATCCCGACCTAGTACTCGTTTCCTAACATCTGCATTACTTACCCGGTGGTCCCAGGATATACGAGCGATGCTTCGAAGACACCTATGATCGAACACTAGTAGCCTACGAATATCCTCTACTCTTATTGGCCATGTTTCACTGCCATCAAGTAGGACGGAGCGAACTGCTGCACAGTAAACCTGCCCTTTGGTTGCTAGACGGATATCTCGCCTACGCCATAAATGACACAAGTTGGCGAAAGCTAGATAAGCCCTGTGTATCCGTGCTGAGATTTCGTCAAACACCAGACCACAAGGGCTGATGAGACTCCCAAGATAAGTGAAGTGGTCTACACGCTCAGCTACTTCACTCCCTATCATTAGTTCAGGTGTCGCTGCAACCCAATCCTGAAGTAACATTTTGCACTTCGAGAGAGAGAATCGCATCCCGAACATGCCTGCATTGTTGCTTATAGTGGTCAGAAGACTCTGCATTTTGTCAGCGTCTTCACCGAGTAAAACTATGTCGTCGGCGTATTCTAAGTCAACAAGTGAGCCTCCTGGTAAAAGTTCAACTCCTGGAGGTTTAGCTGATGAAAGTGCTATCTCTAAAAGTATGTCAGTGACAAAGTTAAACAAGAATGGGGAGAGTGGACAGCCCTGACGAACACCACTTGTGGTAATCAGTTCTGATGACACGCGAACTTTTAACTTCTAGACCATTGAACCAGCATTCAACGTTGTTTATGTCTACCTTCAATTGACTCATGATCGTGCGCAAGCCTTCATACAATGTCTTCAGTAGGTGACTGTATCACATCCGGTATGGACTGAACCCTACTGCTTACGGATTTTCACTAATAGTCCAGGAATTCCATCTTGAAGCTAATCACTACTGAGCACATGATAATGTCAATATGCTAAAATCAGACAAGTGAAAACTGAACAATAAGAAATTAACGTAAAAACGGATTTTAAATCACCTAAGCTTACATCGAATTACAGCATTCACTCAGTATATTGTAAATGAAAAACATTAAAATACTTACCATCAAATTCAGGTGTTTTAATAGTAAATCTACTAGGAGAACCACCAGATCGACTTCTTAATGTTGATGATTTTGAACATGCATAAGTATTACAAACATTTAAACTAATATCATGACGTGTATCTGAACTAAGATTTGTTAAATGATGCCAAATTTGTTTTGAATTATTCGAATCCGATTGTATATGTTGAATCACTGTCGAAGTTGTATCAATCTTATCATCTTCCAGATTAAATACACGTTCATGAAGTATTGGAGAACGTGGAACAATTGAACTGCCAGTATTAGATTCCTTTAAACAAAAATTAAAATACAACTTTAAAAAGATGATTTCGAAATGAATTGTTTTACAAATAATGATCTCCTTTGAAATGATAAAGAAAATTTGAAGCTCAGATAGCTTATTTGGGGAGGGGCTACTGATTTTACTGAGCTAGGTGGTTGTAATTGAGAAGATTTCATTTTCATTCTGGACAATATCTTCAAAGTCAACTTCATGTAAAGAAGTGAGCGTTCTAGTTATTCTACAATTGTCACATTAGTTCATTCCTAAAGCTTTGTTTATGGTTGGGTATCTTATTTTACCTTTCTATTCATGTTGATTGTCTTTGCCAATTGATCTGTGGCTTTGAAATTGACTGACCTTGTCCTTATACATTAGTAGATTGAGCATGAAGTAGACTTTGAATATGTTAACCAGAATGACAAAAAAAAACTCAGAGAACTCAACACTATCACAAATCTTGTATAGATATTTACTAAAGGATTCAGAATTCAAAAATAGACAACATGTATCATCGTTGTACTATGCAGCTTCGGTCTTAACTGTTCCATGTAGATGTGAAATGAGAGATTTTGTCCTGTAGGATGAACAAAAATGTTATTTTTAAACAACGAAAATTGTAACTATACTCATTGTAATATCTAAACAAGTAGAAAATTGTATTTCTAACGTTTTGTGACTTAATGTAAGCCACTACTTTAGAGTAACTTATTATTAACTTTCCACTCAATGGGCGATATATTTGAAACTATCAAGTTCAACCTTGGTATTGATACCTAGAAACGAGAAACGGGTTATAATCGTATAATTTTAAGATGATGGAAAATATTTGTAACTTAGGGTGAATATTTTGGAGGTCCCTTTGATATACTGGTTGATGATGTTATCTGAGATAACAATGAAAGCTTCATGTAAATTATTGGATTCGAGTTGTTGAATGAACATCAATATCCAGCTGATAGGTTCGAAATTGGATAAAACGCACATCTTTTATTCCATTGTTAAACACATTCTATCTATCTTAAATCACGAAAATCTATCTGACTAACAGTGAATAAAACTTGAATGAAATCACATTTCATAAGTTAAGTATATGGCGATAATTGGAATGAAACTCTATTTTATATTAGATTTCGTGTTAGTTGACAATTGATATCAAGATGTAACTTTAATGTTGAGGGGATTGATATGACGAGACGGCCTTCCAGTGCTTCCAGATTTTCCATGGTGGTCTAGCTTCAATTGACTCATGATTTCAACTATATATCAGAATTGATATATCTTAAGCGATTCTAACCTATATCAATCAGTTTCATAGTCTAAGATATTGTCAATAGGTTACTCAGTCGTGAGATCTAAATTATTTAATTTAAAGACTCAAATAATATGACAATGATCAACGGTTATTCATTGGAAAATCAATGTTAATTAATTTTCTATACAAGAATGCACAAATCTACTACTGGCTCCATGAAGTATGGGCACCTGGGCAGTATCACAGTCCTCACATAAATCGAAAGGGAGATTGGTGCGACGCATATGTATCTGGTGCCTCTTTGTACCAATATTTATGTGTTTAAATAAATAACTAGTGAAGTTCAACCAGATGTGTTGGGAGATATCAACTCACTAAAGACATTGGTGAAATGGTTGCTCAACTTCGTGGATTGGTTGAAGTTCGACATTAAAACGGTTGAATGCAGACCAGCTCAGTGGTCTATCGGTTAAGTGCTTTGGAGCAAGACTGGTACGTCCTGGCTTGGAATCTCGCGAGACGGGATCGTGGATGCGCACTGCTACTGAGGAGTCCCATAATAGGACGAAACGACCTTGCAGTGCTTCCAGATTTTCCATGGTAATCTAGCTTCAATTGACTCATGATTTCAACTATATAAAATCTACTTATAATTGATAATATTGTCGGGATAAATCATAGTAAATTCACTAATTAGTTGTTTCTTTTTTTACACAAACAAAAGGAAAAACATGTTCACATATATCTCATGTTTAAAAAAAAGGAAGGGTATGTAAAAATGAAGCCAGAGGTGAACAAAAAAAAAGGAAGAGGAGAGGGATATTTTCAAACATACAGTTGACATACTATTCTCTGTTTCTTTTTTCTTTCTGTTATCACTTAGCCTAATTATGATAACAGATAAATACCCACTGATTCTCATTTATCCGCATATACAGATACAATTATACATGAATTTATAGTAGCCACCTGGCTGAGTGCATTAAACCATGAAAGAAATAAATAAACGAGACACAATAGATGATAATGATTCTTCAAATTAATGGAACAAAGTCAATAACAATAAAAGAACTGAAAAAAAGTGATAATAAAACAAAACAATAAAGAATAGGAGGATAGAAAAAAAAAATGTACAAGATGAGGAGAAGAAGAAAAAAGAAAACTGAAGAAAGAACAAAAACAGCAGTAGCAGTAGTAATAGTAATAATAATAATAATAATAGTAATATTAGTAGTAGTCATAATAATAGTATTGACAGTAATAGTAGTAGTATTAGTAGTCGTAGTAGTAGTAGTAATAGTGATAAATGAAATATTGTCTCCTTTTTATAATGAACCCTATAGAAATCTATAGTTATATAGGTCAGTTAACTAGTCACAGATATTATAATGGTAGAAGAATATAAGAAATGATAGTCAGTAGGAAATTTAAACATATGTGATGTATGATTGTAATGGAATAATTTGCCCATACTACTACTACTACCACTACTACTACTACTACTACTAATACTACTATTACTACTACTACTACTACTACTACTACTAATCTGTTCATCATTGTATAGTTAAAGATGAGAGCTGATAAGATATAGAACATAACAATGAATTGATTGACAATGGGCTTAAAAAGACTTGGGAAAGGTAACAAAAATAATTGAACAATCGCATAATTATCAATATAAGGTTGTACAGAATGATGAGGTTCATTGAAAACATAAGTCGATCTGAGTTAGATGACCATTGAAAACAGGGAAGCGCTGAATAGTCGTCTCGTTCTTGTATGGGATTCTTTAACATTGCACATCGACAACCCCTCCACCAAGGAGTTTCATACCAGGGAAGAATGGAAGTCAAATGCTTCCACGATTTCAATGGTTGTCTAATATTACAGAACTACTACAACCATCATCTTTGCGCGCGAACGCTTAACCACTAGAACACTGAGCCGGCATACAACGGAATAAACGGCCGTCCAGTACTTCCAGATTTTCCATGATGGTTTAGCTTCGATTGTCTCATGATTTCAACCATATAAAATTATTGAAATCTCCACAATACCCCCTTCTGATAATTCCATATTAGTTGTTAATATTAGATTAAACTCTCCTAGGTGGACGCACAGTGTCCACCAACCCGGTTTAAGCATCGGACATTCGCTTTTCGTCCAATCAACTTGGTAAACAACACCCCCGCCACGAGAAGGCAGTGAGTACGATTTCTCTGGCAGAGGCTATGTACGAGTGGCCATCTGAGAGTATTTCGAGAGGGAGAGTGGATTCTCCCCACTCACGGCCGTACTATGGCATTTGGGGGTATTCTATTTGAAATTTATGTAAAATAAAAAAAGATTGAAAAATGAACACAAAACTAACAAATAAAAACTCACTGTATTGGTTGATGTTTCACTTATAGTAACAGTGACATTCTTTAAAGGTGCACGGGAATTTGTTGTCCAATGTAATAAATAATAATCAGCAAATTCTGTTAAATTTGGAGATAAAATTTTCGGAGGTGCTGGAGAAACTGTAACGAAACAATCAAATAGTGAAAATTTAAGTTGAACTAATTTAAGCACAAGAATTATTTCGAATCAAAAAGTGGATGTCTATACATAAAGAGACTATATAGGGAACGAGAAAGTTTTCTCATCTCTTTGTTGATGACATTGATCACTATTCAGTGGTTGATCAAATGTAAATACGTTTCATTCCAACACGGGATCGAATCCGCTAGAGAGCATTAGTCTCCTGTGTTCCCGACTAACAAGAAATCTAAGTCAAACGTGGTTTCCTGTCGACAAATTCCGATTATCTAATATAGTGAAAGTATAAATTTACCATGAAAGTAAATAATTTTAAAAAATTCATGTTGTCACAAATAAGGTCGTGTTTTAGGTTGTAGCCCACTTGCCTTGTTTTAAAGATGAAAAGATTATTCTATAGTCCTAATAACTGTTAAGAAAGCAATCATAATGTTTGACTCATTGTTGGTAGATTGAAGGATTCTATCAAAAATTACCGATTCCCTTTTAATAATAATCATCATTACTTATGTGAAAAGGGAAATATTTTCCTGTCTCTGAAACGCTCCATTTCTTTGGCTTAAGTGTTTAGTTTACAATTTGGTGGTGGAATGTCAGGAGATGAAATTCCAAAGTTGCTGATGATCCGAGTATGTTTGTATGCAGTTCAGTTTTTAGAGATCTGGGAACATATGCGATGTACTTAAGTGTACCAATCTCTCTAGGTGAACCTTCAGTAACAACCAATACTTTCTGAAGTAGTGAATATCTTCAAAATCTTTGGCCAAGCAGTAGTGAATAGTGTCATTTCAAACTATACGGCTGATCAATCACACTGTCAGTGTGTTTAAAGATCTTATATATATACACTCATCGGTGATTAAAAACAATATAAACACACATAAAGTTTCTTACCAGTTACTTCCAACTTTTGATTTACACTACCTAAACTGTTATTTGCTTTGCATAAATACTCATGTAAATGTTGTGATGTAATCTGATTTAATACAACACGATATGCCCATGTTCCACCTTGAGGTTTATTGGATAACATGTGTGGATCACTAACTGGTAGATCATTGCAGGTCAGTGTAGGAGTTGGATAACCTGTTACCAGAATCTAGTATAACAATGGACAAAAACAGGAGAATCTTGTTAATATATCAGTACCTTGATGATTTATTATAGTATGGAAAAATTTATGGATGAATCTAAGAATCAAAGTCCTACTAAAACTGTATGGTAGCCAGAATATTTTATGTATTAATATGACAGATGAACTTAACTTCAAAATCGAAACATGTTGGTTGATTTTTGAGAGCCAAAATAACTTAAACACACAATCTAAATAGATAGCCGATTACCAATGGATGCCTGGACTTTATTGATATTCGGATATTAGTCGGATTGTACAAAAAGCAGTTAGAATAATGGACAAATAAACTGGTGCACTAACCATTAAGTGAATGGTAGTTTTGCTTACTTACTGTGATCAGAGATAAAAGTGAAATGAAGAACTGAAGAAAGACTTTCCCATTCGGTCCCTGATTGGATTATATGTAGGAAGGTACATTAGGTTTGGTGCGAACTAGAACAAAGGACCATAAAATGGGCCGCAAACAGTGCACAGAGGTCAACACTAAACTTGTTTATGGTATGAGTGTGAAACAGAACATCGTCAAAAGATGACGCCCAAGCCAAATAATCTGAATGCTAGTAATTTATTCACTACTTTGATCTTGGATCTGGAGCGAATCATATCTGTACTAATGTACGTACCATGTAGTGTGTAGGTATCGTTCTATAAATTCTATATACTCACGCAACGTACACTTGTGACCGAGCATATCTATGCCTATAAGTGTCCATCGGAGTGCATGTATCTCTGACGTGTGCGTTCTATATATACATGTAGCACATACTTGCGTCTACACCACATCTGATACTGGTGTAGTTGTTTTAGCTATCAACGCTTTACGGTGGTAAAAAGTTTTCTGAATGTGATAGGAGAATGAAACTGTACAACCATAGACTGTTAACGTGTTAGTCTGCGTTACATTAAATAAAGTTGAATAGAAGTCCTTGATCATAAACAAACAATATCGAGGCAAATTGTCAACTTTTTCTGTTTGCTCTACTTTCTGAAGTGCTCCAGTCTCGTACGTCTACACAAAAGTTCTTTTCATGTCACGAAAAACAAAACGACTATCCTATTTAGTTGGTGCGAAGCACGTTGATCAAACATATTTGTATGAGTAGAACTGTTTGCTAGTGGGCGTCTTATGCTCCTCCACGAGGTGTAACAGGCTTTAGTAAGTAAGTTTGTTTAATCCTTATATTCATGTATTACATTATTGTACATTTTAGATGTTGAAATATGTAACAAACATCTAACGACTAAACTGATAATAACCAGAAGGGGGTTTTGTGGAGATTTGTTTTAGTAATTTTATATAGTTGAAATCATGATTGGATTGAAGCTAGATCGTCAGGGAAAAACTGTAAGCACAATTGATTGATCACTGGGTGGTGATCAGTGTCATGCGTGTCAAGTCCTTCTTAATGTTGATCGAATGCTATCGATCAACATTGATCACCACCCAGTGATTAATCAATTGTGATTGCATCTCAGTCCTACAGGAGGTCGACCGCGGCCCGAATAGTTCAGTGGTAACGTCTCTGACTATGAAGCTGAGTGACACGGGATGAAATCCGTCAAGGAGCACCATTTCCCTTAAGATTATAGTTACACCTTTCTGACGAGTGCCAAGCACCACGAAACCTGGGTCCAGGGTTTCCTGTTGACCACCTTCAAACACCATCTTAAAACTTGGCAGCATTGAACGGCCGTTTCGTCCTATGGTGGGACTCTTCAGGTTTTCCATGGTGGTCTAGCTTCAATTGACTCATAATCTCAATTTTATAAAAGTGATAATCGTTTTTCAAAAACAAAAACTTATAAATGACCATATGGATGATTGTTTTTTGGAATGCTCGAAATCATTATTTATTTAAAATACATTTTTAAAAAAATAAACATAAACAGGTCGTGAAATTTTTGGCATACAAAATGTCTGAAATAAATAATAAACACTTCTATTCGAAATCAATCATTTTACAACCTCTACGACTTTAGCCAAATACTGTAGTTGTTTCTTTTAAAGTGATTACACCATGTACATAAAATGTAGGGGGGAGGAATAAGAGAAAGTTGAGAGAACGACATAGTTATGTAAGAAGTAAATTTGTTACGTATCAGCGTTAGACGGAGCTGTAGTCGACAGAAATCACCACATCAGAAAAACCTGAATCGACAGAAGTAGCAAGAGAGAACGAAGTAATGTATTAGTAGGGACGAAAAGGAAAGACTGAACCTTAGATATGCAGTTCGAGTCCCGCGTTTGGAATTGTGGATGCGCACTACTGACAAGTCTCATACTGTGAATAAATGATTATTCAGTGCCTCTAAGTTTTCAGTGATAGTCTAGTTTAGATCAGTTCGTAATGTCAACCATGAAAATTAATAACTTTATGATGACGTAACCAACGGAAATATTCGACTAACCTTTTTTTTAATCAGCGTTGAACACCGATCATGGAAAATATGTGCAACCATAGATAGATAGATAGAAAGGGAGAGAGAGTGTGAACTAGAAATTCACTTAAGAACAAATTAACCTACTAAGAAGTTAATTCTCGACCTTTTGACCTCTATTCATATAAATATTTATCTAACCTTTACATGTATGATCTTAATCAATAAGGCAATTGTGATTAGGTCAAAATCTAATTCGTCCAGTTTCAAAAATATGTATTGAGGAAATGAGTCAGTTAAATGACATCATAACTAAAACTATTTGAGATTGATTACAAATAATTTAATTACAAAATGGTATTTTGATTATTTATTACAATTTTGAATGAATAGCTATGAAATAATCCCCAAATGCCCTGGTATGGCCGAAGGTTGGGAGAGTCAGCTCTCCTTCTCGAAATACTCTCACACTGCTACGCGTATATAGCCTCTAACAAGGAAGCCCTACTCACTGCCTTCTCTCAACGGAGGTGTTGTTTACGGAATTGAAAGGACAAAAAGCAAATGTCCGGCACTCTAACCGGGTTGGTGGACACGAAAGGCTTACCCAGGGGAATTGGAAAACTCTCATTCCAAACCAATGATTCACATGGTCTGGCTCCAGTATCCTGAGGGAACAAATGGCGTATGAACCAATTGTTGGCCACCGGATACCATGGGACTGCATCTCCTCACAATGCTCCACTACCATGTGGATCAGACCTTTAGGTCAAAGGCTCCGGGTTTAGCCCCTTAAGAAAACCACCTGCTTCAATTTGGGCACCTGGGAAGTATTACAGCCCTCACACAAATTAAATGAGAATTGTGTGGTGTATATGCATCTGGTACCCCTTTGTACCAATATTTGTGTGTTTAAATAAATAAATAAAATATTAAAAAATAATGTGTCATGTTTAATTATTGTTAGTATTGAGATCATGATGATGAATGGTTTGAACTTATGACATTCCTATTGTATTTTACAATTAGATAAGATAAATAATCTATCATCTATATAGAGAGATAGAAACAAACCCAATTGAATAGACAATAACAAATGGTGATAATGAAGTGAATTCTGATTTAATAAGTAAATAAAAGAACAAACTATTGCCAGCGGGAAAAAAATAAAACAAACAGACGGTGGCGAAACTCTGTGGATTGGCTGAGGTTCACTCGCGAGACCTTTAGGTCCTGGATTCGAACCTCGAGAAGCGAGATTGTGGATGAGCACTGCTATAGAGTTGTTGTACTAGGACGAACGGCCGTCCAGTGCATCCAGATTGTCTATGATAGTCTGGCTTTAATTCACTCATGAATTACACTATTAAATAGACATTAGGTCAATTTTAGCGTGAATGATGATGTACTAGGATTTTCATGGTTGAAATCACGAGTCAGTTGAAGCTAGACCACTATGGAAAACGTGGAAGCACCGGATGGCCGTTTCGTCCTATTATGGGACTCCTCAGCAGTGCGCATCCACATACTCAGATTCCCCTACAATTTATCTACTAATGAATTAGAGTGAAACTAACTGACTGTCTAAATTGAATTACATGGAACGGGTCTATGAATTTGTCGTTTGAGTAGCTGAAAGTTAAGAACAGCTTAATATAACAAACCATTGATGATAATCATTATGAAATTAGAATATTATGTATATAGTACTGTTGAATAATACAAAAAACTTACATTAAATCTTTCTTCAACACCAATATCTGTGTAAATTACATTGTCGGTCATGTGTATTTTCGGATATACTGTGAATAAATATATACATAAAAGATGACAGTAAACATATATACACACTGTAAAGCATGATGAGTTTGCTAATCGGATATCAGTAAGGCATTCCATTCTATGCAGACTGAAGAGCATAACAAAGACATAAAATGATTCCAGTACGATCTATGAACTAAATTGGGCCAACCACGCTAATTACCAGATTGAAGAGAGTGGATGTTCCCTTTATTAACGCATAAGCTGATACAAACTAATAATAAAGTGACTTTAGATGTTATCACTCCTATCAATGTACACAACACACATACGAATTCGATTGGGATTATAGATTGAGGATGTATGCATAGCACTCAGATTAATCTGTAATCAATAGGTATATCGGAATAGATCCTATTTACAAATATAGTCAAAAAAATTCAAAGACAAATTAATCTGATCGTCTTTGAAGACAATAATATGCAGATAATTTCATCAGAACAGATTTGTTGACGTCTGCCTTAGGATTTGAAACCAAAATATTTCTTTTTTGCTACGAAAGTACAGAGCACCATCTACTAAGATACTGAGTCTTGATATCTACTGACTTGTTCAAGGGTTATAATGTTTACATCATTATTTGCCAGTCGAACTTAGTAGCTTAGCAGATAACACACTAGTCTTTTGAGCCAAAAAGTACTAGGTTCGAGTCTCAATGTAAACATCCAGTTGATTAGACCAAGATAAAATGAAAGGTACATCCTAGTTTCTAGTGATTGCTAAAAATTATCTAGTGTAAACAACTCGTGATCCGATTAGGATAAAACTGTCAACAAAGGCCAATCAGAATTCAAAGCTGAATATCGATAAGGGGGTAACCTAATACCATAACCAGTAATGATAGTTTCGTTATGATATATTTATGAGGTTGTATAAAAGAGATGAGTTGTGACCAGCAGTTGGATCCAGGACAATATGTTTCGTTCTATTCGGGACTCAACTTCAACTGGATATAACTATATCCCATGGTTGATGTCCACATTTAATCGAAAATATCAACAATGGAATAAGTCATCGGTCTTCCTCAATTACATTAAAATTAATAAATTCAGGTAAGTACAAGGACAATTACATACATATCTTATTTACACAACATAACTATGTATACAGATATCATGGGTGGGATTCCTGTACTATACTTCAGTGTCTAACTGTCTAAAATGATTAAGATAGTAATGAAAAAGTAATCTCCGAGGAGTTCTTTCGATTGCTCTTTTAATGATTAAAGATCATTATGTCTATAAATGTCATACTCAAACAACTTACAATTGACTTCAAGCATCAATTCTTTGATAACTGGATTTTGATTCACTGCAGAATTTATACCTGCTTCACAAACATATACATCACCATGTTGATCAGAACGAATATTTAACAATTCCAATGGAAGATTAATTAATCGTATGTTACTTCTACTAACGGATGAATTAGGTTGATGAGAATGTTTCAAGATTGAGCCATTCTAAATTTTGTGAAGAAAATAAATAAACAAACAGGAAAATGAAACTTAGATAAGAAGGAAACTTTAATAAATTAGTTTTTATTTTATATTTTATTTGAACACTTGAATATTGGTACAAACGGGCATCAGATACACATGTGCCAAACAAATCCAATAAGATTTGTGCAAGGGCTGTGATACTGCACAGATGCCCAAATTAAAGCAGGTGGTTTTCTTAGGGGACCACATACGGAGCCTTCGACTTAAAGGTGTGACCCACAAGGCAATGGAGCATCGTAAGAGGATGCAGTCGCATGGTAGCTGATGACCAACAATTGGTTCATACTCCATTTGTTCCCTTAGGATACTGGAGCCAGCCTATGTGCATCATTGGTTTGGAATGAGGGTTTTCCAACTCCCCTGGGTGAATTTTTCGTGTTCACCAACCCAGTTAAAGCGCCGGACATTTGCTTTTCGTCCTTTCACTTTCGTGAACAACACCCCACTTGGGAGAAAGCAGTGAGTAGGACTTCCCTCATAGAGGCTATATATTCGCGTGGACATGTGAGATCATCTCGAGAAGGAGAGCGGACTCTCCTCACTCTCCACCGTACCAGGTCATTTAAAGGCCATCTCATAAGAAATGTTTTATGATCTGATGAAATTCACAGAATAAAAAAACTCATCTAAATGAAATACAAAAAAGTACTCTTATTCCACATTCACACACACACACTCATACAGAGAGAAGACATTTGATTAACCTAAATGTAAAAAGTTCATACATGAACTAAAAAAAAATGAAAAATAACAATTCCAACTATTCGACGAATGAACTATTCCATTTCATTTCTCTTTTTTTTTCCTTACTACTGAAATAAAAGGTCATTGTCATATGCTTGGACTAAATTGAATTACATTAATTCAAATAAAAGAAATCAACATGTGACTACAATTTCGTTTGAATGATAAATACAAGAATTAATTTATTCTATCAGTGAATGTATTCATTCATAAAATATAAAGTAAAAATATAGAAGTTCATTTGATGAAATTTTATGGAAACTATCTTTGAAGGACATATATTACAGGAATCATCAAAACTGCATCATTAGATAAGCGGTTACCTGAAATCTTGAAGGGTAACAGAAAAGAGGAAAACTGAAGGATAAACTATTGGGAATTTGAAGTAGACATTAAAAATGATGAATAGTAACTGGGACGGATTGTTAGGAACAGATTTGGATGATGGTTGACAGGTAACAGGTGTAATTTACATCTAAAGCCGTCAAAATAATACCCAACATATATTGTTTATACCTTGCCCCCAAATGCCCTGGTATGGCCGAGATTGGAGAGAGAGTCCGCTCTCCCTCCCCAAATGCTCTCACATGGCCACGCGTATATAGCCTCTATCAGGAAAATCTTACTCACTGCTTTCTCGTGGCGAGGGTGTGTTTACGAAATTGAGTAGACGAAAAACGAATGTCCGGCGCCATAACCGGATCGCTGGACACGGAAAGTTCACCTAAAGGAGTTGGAAAACCCTGATTCAAAACCAATGATGCACATGGGCTGGCTCCAGTATCCTGATGGAACGAATGGTGTATGAACCTGTTGTTGGTCATCAGCTACCATGCGACTGCATCCTCTTACGATGCTCCACTGCCTTGTAGATCACACCTTTAAGTCGAAGGTTCCGTGTGTGGTCCCCTAAGAAAACCACCTGCTTCAGTCTGGGCACCTGTGCAGTATCACAGCCCTCACACAAATCAAATGAGATTTGTGAGGCACATCTGATGCCCGTTTGTATCAATATTTATGTGTTTAAATAAATAAATATCTTGGTGTTACTTCCTCTAGTTTTCTTTCAACCTACTCTTATACCAGTAATCATCAAGCATCTATGTGGTCGGTGGATGACGATACATATTACATATCTCACTAGTATAATAAACAGATTGATTTCATCTAAGCTTATATTCAATGAAGTAGCAACACAAAAAACACAATGAATAATCAAATTTCCAATTAGTGCCTTGGAAATTATTTACCGAGTGACTGAGTGTTCCATTTAAGAAATAGTTATAAACATATTCCTATTTATAATGATTAACTAGCCTAGTTAGTAGAACACCTAATACTTCAGAGTTGAGTAGTCTACAGCATCTTATACTGGATTAAAGAAACGGCCTAAAGGTTAAAACACTTGACATTGGAGTGTTACCTCAAAATCTTCTAACCACCCTCTACGTATTTCATTGAATGGGTAATACTACAAAGTATAGCATAAAGCAGAATACTTATAAACATGTGCTTGGTCAGTCTGTCAATCAAAATCAGAGTAAAGCCAGTCATGAAATTTCCGTTAGTTTAAGCTGTCACAACACATTGATTTAACAAGAAGAATAACAAAACAGACAGAAACAATATGATAGTAGTAATGATAATAAAAAAATACTAATTATGGAAAAGGTGGTTAGAAGGAGAATGCACGGAGCAATAGTGGAGCTGAGGAGCTTGAGAAAGATAAAGCGTGAATAAATATGCCCCACTAAAACTATTACTGAATCATGTCACCAAACATCTGCAACAATTGATCACAGTTATTATGTAACTTTCAATCATGAAGTCTAAATCAACCAACATGACACAGAAGAACGGTCAATAACTACTTGACAGCCCAATGCCATGTTTCTTTTTAGTCCCTCCTTAGTTTTCTTCCAACACACATCTCCACCAGCGAACACTTCCGGTTATAGCAGGGGATGATTGGGGATACGTAATACATGTCTCAACCATCTCAGTTAATGAAGATTCATAACGTCATTGAACACTTCATTATATTTATCTGTTACCTTGCATTTAACTACAGTATTGCTCATCCGGTTGTTTCCTGAAACATGAGCACTACTTGGAAGATATCCATAATGAAACAACTGTAATCTCCACATATGTTCTGCATTCATAGACCACGTTTCTTAGTCATGGGGTGATACAAGATGAATTACAGTATAGTTCTACTCTTTCTTTGAATGGGATAGACCTCAAGTGACGTAGGTTGACATAAGTCAAATGAGTCCGGTTATTACGTGCTGACATTTCACCAGATCCCAACCAATCAGATCTTGACAATGAAGTTACACTTAATTACACCTCTTTTGTTATACTGCTGTTAATTATAATTACAAGAAATTCTGTAACATTCCAGCTTTCACATAGATCTTCATTAATTTATTTAAACACATTACTATTGGTACAAAGAGGCACCAGATATATATGCGCCACACAAATCAAATGAGATTTGTGTGAGGGCTGTGATACTTCTCAGGTGCCTAAACCGAACCAGGTGGTTCTCTTAGGGGGCCACACACGGTACCTTTGATCTAAAGGTCTGATCCACAAGGCAGCGAAGCATCGTTAGGAGATGCAGTCCCATGGTAGCCGGTGATCAACGATTGATTCATACGCCGTTTGTTCCTTCAGGATGCTGGAGCCCATGTGCATCATTAGTTTGGAATTAGGGTTTTCCAACTTCCCTAGGTAAGCCTTCCGTGTACACTAACCCAATTAAAGCGTTGGACATTTTCTTTTCGTCCTCTCAATTTCGTAAACAATACCCGTAATGCGAGAAGGCAGTGAGTAGGATTTCCCTGACAGAGGCCATATACGCGTGGCCATGTGAGAGAATTTGGAGAGAGAGAGAGCGGACTCTCCCCACTACCGACCGTACCAGGGTATTTGGGGGCACAGATCTTTATCGGATCTTATCATCATAATGAATTGAACTCAATAAGAGAAGGTAACGAAATGAGTCATATACAAATTATCAATTAAATAACATATAAATCACCTGGTAGCTAGTCTAATTTCCCATGATTATTCATTCTATTTAATAAGAACTGAGAAAACTTTCCTACGTAGATTATAATAATCATAATAATAATAATCCATAGACCAAGCATACCAAAAGTCAACTGAATATTACAAGACATAGAACTATACAGTTGAAGTCTTTTATATAATGAAGCAATGACCCGTAAGTTGGTGAGTTTTATTTTTTCCCTAACTCTATACTTCAGCATAAAAGCCATTGATATATCAGGTCAGTTACAGAGATGCAGATATAATGCCTAAAAAAGGCGTAATTCTATCAGAATAAATAAAATAAATAGGAATTATGTAAAGCAGACAACAGAGTAATTCATCCTCCCTACCCGTTTCATATTATGATTTTTTTTTCTTCAAAAAAGGACGTCCTTTCCAGGTCATGCTGAAATCCTCTTGATGAGCATGTTCATATGTGTGTATGTATGTATCAGCATGAAGTGAAATAGGTCTAGTCTTATTCTGCTTTTTTGAATGGAATAAATATTAATTAATATGAATATGAAATGTTAAATAAATAAAAAAAATCAGTGATTTATGTTATAGAATAATAGTAGGTAGGTGGGTAGATGGTTGTATAGGAGGGGAGGGGTGGAAGGATAGACGGAAATACAGAATGATACACAAAAACACAAGCACAACTCTGATGTAACTGCCAGTAAACAATGAAGAGAGACTAATGTTAATAATAATAATAATAATAGTTTCCTTCAGGCAACGTAATAACCACTTCGTCGTCTGAAGGGTGTGAGGTAAAGGGATGGTGGAGAAGATTTGTAGCTCAGGTGGATGATTATGATGTAGGTTTGTTCTCTGGGCTAAATGAGAGAGAGGGAGGTAAAGGAGAATCATATCAATAAGACTAAGGCAATAAAACCAGCTGAAGCATAACTCTTAGGAAAAAAAAGAAGACGAGAATGAGTCATATAGAATATGACAAGACTGTATCGTAGTATAATTGGAGAGCGAGAAAAACGAATCCCGTTGCCTCTATTATTACCTATTTTTTAAGGTGGTAACTGCTCATTAAAAAAAAAAAGAAAAACTCAACTCAGAAAGGTTTGAAGAATGACGTATCTCTTTTTTTTGTTAAAATGATAATAGTGGTAAGAATGGTTGTATGACCTGAAAAT